GTTGACGTTCTGCGCTCCGACTCCTGCTCCGGCGATGGCGACTCGCCGGCAAATACCTGGTAGGCTGGTTCCCCACGGCTCGCCCTCGCCTGTTATCTCCGACGCCGCGCCCTCGCGAAGACTGGGTGAAGCGGTGGTGGTCGTCCGTCCCGCTCTTGGCCGTCGAATCCCGGTCGCCCCAACGGTTCTTCCAGCTCTTGGACACCGGAGCCGCCGACCTACTGAAATCCTTGTTTTCTCCAGAACCATGTGCAGGGCGTGAAGAGGCCTGCCGGGGGGCTTGTAGATCGTGCTTGAAGTCGTTGGTCGAAGCAGCACGAGCAAGAGGCAGCTGGAGTCCTCCCTCCTGGGTCACCACCGACGTTCCTTGAGGACCTTCATGAAAGGTGGCACGACGGAGAGCGAACAACAGCTGGAACACGGACTGCCGCGAAGAAGGCGGAAGTTTCGCGAGGTACGGTGTGTGGTAGATGTGCCCGAAAGCAACGGTGTGCGGTGGGGGGAATTGTGCACGGACAAGTTGTTTGATGCCAGCCCATGCAAAAAGAGCTGCCAATTTATCTTCGTCGTGGAAGGTGACACCTTCTGCAGGCATCTCCAGCGGGCGGGACAGGAACGCTGTATCTCCAACGTGGAACTCGTACACCGTGGTTGCCGCCGCAAACGATGCCCCGTCTTCAGCACCAGCCGGAAGACCCAAAGTCACCGAAAACTCCGGAGTCGCTGTCCTCTTCCGCTCCTGCTCGTTCGTCGGAGACGCCGCCACCTCGCGCTCCTTCTCGTGCGGCGAGGCGGTACGATGGGAACCAAGGTGCACCTGGGATTGCGTGGGGGGGGGGACGATAACACGGCGACGGGGGTGGGGGGCTGCTCGCGGGTCCTGGTGGCGGGGCTCCAGCTCCTTCAGCCGCGATCGGAGCGCCCCCTGCTTCGCCCTAGCCGCTTGGAGATACGCCTCACGCTCCGCCAGAACAGCCGCACGCTCCTCCTCCTGCTTCCTCGCCGCAGCAGCCAGAGCAGCCTCACGTTCCTCCTCCTGCTTCCTCGCCGCAGCAGCCCGAACAGCCTCACGCTCCTCCTCCTGCTTCCTCGCCGCAGCAGCCAGAGCAGCCTCACGTTCCTCCTCCTGCTTCCTCGCCGCAGCAGCCCGAACAGCCTCACGCTCCTCCTCCTGCTTCCTCGCCGCAGCAGCCAGAGCAGCCTCACGTTCCTCCTCCTGCTTCCTCGCCGCAGCAGCCCGAACAGCCTCACGCTCCTCCTCCTGCTTCCTCGCCGCAGCGGCCAGAGCAGCCTCCCGTTCCGCCAAGCGCTCCGCGTCCTCGCGCTTCGCCTGCTCTCGCGCCTCCGCCTCTGCTATCTTCCCGGCAAGACCGTCGCACCACATCTCGTTCAACCTTTGGTACGCCATAAACTCGTCGTGGGGCAAGAGGATTAATCTGTCTTCCGGCGGGAGCGAGAAAGGAGGAACGAAAAGGGGGGAATCGGACGACAGATGGGCCGCTTCTACGATATCCTCCAGAGAGACACGTCCGGTGTTGTAGGCCCGCTCCAGTTCCGCCGGATCTGCTGTGGCGATGTTGTCCAGCAAATCATCGACGGTGAACACCATGGACATGGGGGGGCTCTCGTCTTCTGCACCCGCCGCTGGAAACTGCTCTGCGGTGGGAGCCTCGCCCTCGGGTTCGTAGTCGAGGATTTCCACATTGTCGCCCAGGAGTTCCACTTTGCCGCTGGACATGGTGTCCTCTTTGTTAACAAGAACAGGGCCAGAGAGAGGGTAGCTACGATCGATTTTGGAAAGGGCAGCAGGGCCAGAAACAGTAGATGTAGGATAACCAACCGCAGTTGAGGCAGCAGCACCAAGAGCAGCAGAAGCAGTAAAGCCGGGTGCAACTTCGGGAAGAGCAAGCCGAGGTCCATGCGAAAGGCGGAGATATCCACAAGATAGCATACGCCCAGTGATAAAAGCTTGGTGCACACGAGGTTGAAGCGGATCCAACCAAGCAGAAAAAGCGTCCAAAAGCACACCATGCCACGCACAAACAGCAGTAGAAGCTAGCACAAATGGGCCCGTGTTACATGGAGACATGAGGTTTTCCGACCAAAGACACGCAGAGCAGCGCGGCGTTCCTCCGCAACTGGTGCCGAAGTGCGAGCAAAGACCGCTGTGGGTTTGCGCTGTTGAAAGGTTTCCAATTCAAATGCTTTGAGGGTGAACGATTCCCCGAAAAAAAGTGCCATGTGATTTCGAAAAATGGAGGGAAGGCTGGTGGGGCGGCTGACACCTAATTTGTGTGCACAAATCGCGTTCCAAGTCGATGCAAGCGGAGTCAAATCGGACAGCACAACAGGAAAATCCGCGGACATCGGCCGGTACGCCGGCATGAATGCAGTAGAGGTGGTAGCAGACGTGGGAAGCATGCTGTCATCTCGGGTCCCACTACACAAAGCCAGCAATTCAGGACGCTCCATGCCGAGGGTATTCGCCACAGAAATCACTTCATGGACCGCCGATACAGACAAAATAGCTTTCGAGGGACGGCGAACGTACGAAAAATCGCCCAAAACATCGCGATGGCCTCCGAGGCGCGTATCCTTTGCAAGGTCCCAGTCCCGCGGGCGCTTCGCAAAAGCATCACAAGCCAGCATCTCTACAGGAGAGGAAGCAGAGAAGAGGCTAAGTCTAGATTCTCGTGGGTGGTGAGACCAAATAACAAGCAACCCGGTGGTTGTGAAAAAAAAGCGTGGCGACAACACACAGCAGTGTGGAAGCCGCGTCCAGCACCCGCTTACCGTGTAATGTCGGCGACGCCAAGTTTCAAGGAGTGAAGCCGTGGGCGGTAGCTTGCTCCTAGAGATAGATGAAGGTTCTGTCGTTGACACGCTTGTCCACGACCACGTTGAGATGGGAAAGTTGCTTGTTATTGCTAAGAGACGATCAGCAAGGGTCTGAGATGAAGTGGGGATCCAACTCCATCTCAGGGGGTACACAGAGTAGACAATTCTAAGGGGTAGGGGTCAGAAGAGTGTACCTCCTGACCGACCCGCATCCTATCAACAATAGGGTACTCCCTTTCTTCCCCTCGCTGCCTCGGCAAGGTTTTGCGCAGGCATGACCCTTAGCGAGGGGGGGGGTCTTTCTAGCGAGCAGGGCTAGACTCACCCTCAAGGGACCGATACCTTCTTGCTGCGGCGCACCCACCGCGAGGCGTGCGTAGTGGTGGAGTTGGGTCGGCAGCGGTGCGTCAGGTACAAAGGTGCAGATGCGCGGGCCTCCCGGCCGTCGGTGTAGGCAGCAATGCCCATCTCATCTTTGTGCGCGGAGGCAGACGTCATCAGAAAGAAAGGTGGACGGGCACTATGTACACGGCCGTAGGTTTGCTAGAGGGAGCTGTACTGTCTCAGTAACTTGGTTTTGCCATCAAAGGAGGAGGGGACAGGTGGTGACGAGCTGATTGGGCTGGTTGATCCTTCGGCGCGATAATTTTTAGACAAAGAACCCTAAGTGCAACGAGGGAGAAAGCGAGGAAACGACTGGGATGGACAGCAACGAGAGCGTGTACGGAGCGGAGCGGGTCGAGTTTGGTCGTGCTAGGACTGGCCACAGCGGCACCGGAGCAGCGGCACCGGAGCAGGCGGACGGCATCGCAGCGTGGCGCACGGACAAACATCTCTTGTGTCAATTATTTCTCCGTTTTTTTCCTGAATACAGGTGTTGGGTGTGTGTGATGACGCCACTGGTTTTGTAGAGAGACGCGGCAGAGATGGCGCGGATAATACGGGTGCCNTGGCCACAGCGGCACCGGAGCAGCGGCACCGGAGCAGGCGGACGGCATCGCAGCGTGGCGCACGGACAAACATCTCTTGTGTCAATTATTTCTCCGTTTTTTTCCTGAATACAGGTGTTGGGTGTGTGTGATGACGCCACTGGTTTTGTAGAGAGACGCGGCAGAGATGGCGCGGATAATACGGGTGCCTAAATTGTGTACCTGCATCGTGGAAGACCCCTTCAATGTGGAACGATTCCTAGTCAGTGTCGATGTTTGCACTGCTGTGCCTAACACAGATGATCTGGATAGATAGATTCGGGTGATTTGATTGTCAATTGCAAAAATGGCTTTGGTGTACGATGTTTTGAGATCTTCTGTTGGTTGAAAATGAGAGAAAGAAAGCGCAGGCAGATTAATATGTATGTTTCGGGGAAATGTTCCAGCTGGGGGGCTGTTCGTATTGATGTTGGTACTGATATTGTTGTCTTCTTGCGCCAAACCTAGTGAGAGAAGGGTGGCGCAGAATTTGCATATTTCGGGAGATGTTACAGCAAGGGGGCTGTTTGACTGGATGTTTGCTTATTATCTATGTTTTCTGTAGTCTCTTGGACAACAGCCGACGCACCGATAGCATGTGCGTGCTGTTCAGGATTTGGTCCTTGGAGACACTACATCGGAGGAAGGGTTTTGACATGTTTCTTCTTCATTTTATGTCCAGGGACTCATTCTGACGGCACTTCAGACAGCAGCTGCATGCCCCGAGCTTGTGTACCATGCACCATGGTGTTATTTTTGTACATCCGCACTTCAGACAGCAGTACGCTGTAGTCAACAAACATTCATTTTGGTTTAATGCGGGACAAGGGGGGTGATGCTGCTGCTGTAGTCGATTTGTAGTATGTGGTCGTGTAGTTCAGTTGTAAGCATGCAAACGTGCTGCAGGGATTGCAGGTGTACCTCCTCGGGCTTGCGTACCCTTCTCTTGCTAATAGTGTGTGTGTTCTTTAGATCTTCTGATGACTCTAGCATTTTTGTGACCACGGACCGAGTCTTTGCTAGATTTTGGGATTAGCAACTGACACGAGTTTAATGTGAAGAAAAACAACAAACAACAACACTGCCATTGTCGGAAGGCAAAAAAATATATAAATAATTAATAAATAAATAAGATGTACCCTATTCATGCTAGCGGCCACACCTAACACCTCTGCGTAAACTAGCTAGTCATTCCTCCTTCAAAGCTTGCGTTGGTATATGCACGTAAAATGAAGAGAGAAAAACGGAAAACCGCGCTTGGCTCACGTCAGTCGTGTATGTAGGTAGTGTAGGTAGTAATAAGTGGTTCCATGTGCATGTCAGCGGTAGCGGGTTCGTTCGTGGACTCTGAAAGACATTTTTATCGCGACATGTTGGCGTCGTCGCTCGCAGAGGTGGGTAGGGCTGGCTGTGTTGGAGGATTGACGTTGAGCGTAACCACGCGTACCGCGTAGAGTACAAATGGCCAGAGATCGACGCTCCATAAACCACAGGTTCTAGCGGTATAAGTTAGTACTGGTTGTGGGGGCACCTGTCGGTGGCCGGTCGGAAGTTCTCTCTTGGTTGTCGTTGTTCCTCGCGTTCCATGTTGCCGAGCGCTCTTGCCGTTCGAAGCGGCGTAGACTACACTAGATATAGACCTGTGCGAAGAGATCGCGCAGAGGAGGACACGAGATGGAGGGTACCCAGTGTGCCCGAGCACATGGGCGACCTTGATGTAACAGAGCACGAGTCCCGTACAATAGTTCGTTGTGCCGCGGATGGACACAGAATATCTCTTGTGCCCTCCTCTGTTTCGCAAAAAAAAATGATTGTTCCAATTCAATCTGAACAAGGGCGTGGAACAGAGGGGGGAATAGCAGGAAACCCGAGTGCGGGCCGTCACGTCATGGTTGTTCGTCGACGAGGGTAACGACTAATTTTGATGGCGGCTCCCCCCCAACCTCACATAGCAACAAAACTCTCGGAAGTTTCGGCTTCTTTTGGGGTGTTCCGCGGTAAAGACGAATTGTCTCTCCCGCGGCGAGGAAAAACTCGAATGAAAAACCGTTCTTGGATACTTGTCTCAAACGACGTTTAAAAGCGTAAAAAAAAGAGAAACAAAAAAAGTGGTGATCGGATCGCCTTGATTGTTTTTTTTCACCGCGTTGCCGATTTCGGCGCCTCCATTTCTCTTCAGCAATCGATTCCGCTTGGCCGATTTAGAGGGGGTAGAGTCACTCAGAAAGTTGATCAGACAAAAACTCGACGTGGGAACCGAGAATCCAAAATCCCAGGAATTTTGAAATGGCTCAGCTACTGTCAGCTTTTGAGCAGCTGAAAGTCCATTGCAAATCAAAACTGGGACATTCCAACAATAAATTTGTGATCGCCACCCCAAAATTACCCTAATTCGAAGTCAGCAGAGATTGAATCAACATGTAATGTAGAAAGTGTTGCGGGAGGGGGGATATTTCAGTGTAATTCCTAGTAATTCCAGGTTATCCCTGCTTTCGCGCATATATATCAGTGCGTAGCTGTATCACGGCCGCATCGATCCTGATCGAAATTCTGACGACGGATTCTTGACGTGCAACACTACATTACCCTGACCTGAAAATTTTACACGATTCAGAGGCGTTTGCAACTTGCTCGGGGGGCCCGCAGACGCGATTTCCACCCAATTTTGGCCACTAATTCATCAATAAGTCATCACCACGACATCCAAATGGGAAAATAAGTATATTTTCGTGATCCTCGTCACCGAACGGATGTTGGTACAAATTTTCAGAGGTTGGGAACCATTTCTTGCTGCTCATTGAAAAACTCGTGGAAACTATTCGTCTTTACCGCGGAACACCCCTTTTGGGAAAAGCCTATCGGCGGTCAGAGCCCGGAAGTTGTACCCGTCTGCCGTCCGCCCCAATCAACCGTCGACACGTTTTAGTGGCAAAAGTCGTCAGGTCTTCGCTAGAGTACAAATATCAGTAGCCCCCAGGCTCTCACGCGAAGTCGATGGCTCGCTTGTAGCATGGTGGGTCGCGAAAGAGAGTCGGCGAAAAGCTCGTTCAAAGGAAGTATCGCCCCCGTGTGGAAACAAGAAAACAAGTAGTAGTGTAGGTTTGTCGTTGGTCGAGCGTGCGTCCGGCTTGAACACGTGTCTCGGGACACAAGAGAGGTAGAAAGACAAACTGTTGCTGCCGTCCGAGGAAACACCGGGCACATTGTCAAGTTCACCGCATCTCAAGCGCACGCACGTGTGCGTGGACGTGTGACCAAACCACTTGGATTTTTGGGGTATATTTACTTTCTTGAACCTATTTTTTGCATCTACGGACAAAACTCAGCTGAAAGATGACTTCAATTCTTCTACAGTCGCCCTTCTTCCCTGCTGAGAACAACAGAAGCATTTAGTGCCTTTCACAACCTCGTACTTGCCGCTGAAAACAAAATATTTTTCTCTGCCCAACTCGACAAACAGGCAACCCGAAACATAAACATCAAGGGCTGCGGCGGGTGCTACACAACACTGTACGGCGCAAATATCAACGGTGAAGCCCCGTCCCCACAACCAACTGACACAACTTCCTGTGGTGGCAACGGATAACATACATACATACGACATGCCCTTTGGCGACCTTTTTTCTACAAAAGGTTCAACGGCCGCTCTCTCACTCTCCTCCCTCACGACGGTAACGCGAATGATATGAATTTAGCACGCCCGATGAACTACACAACTGTACCTGCACCCATCCATAGGCGGCGAGCGACGTGCTCGTTACACAGCAGGATCAACCCCGACACCAGAACATCACCGCCGCGCGAATCCTTCTACAAACGGCAACGTATTGCATCAAAAAGCTGTCCAGTACGAACTACTACGGACCACTACATTGGGCCACACAAGTGGCGGAAAATACCGCAACGTACCCTTCTACAGGCGGCAGCAGCAGCGGCAACCAGCGCAGCTACGGTACATCTTCTGCCGCACGCAAGTGACGAAAAATATCGAAACTTCATTTCCCTTATTTGGGTGTGTCGGCACGCCACAATCTACATGCTACCCTCTCACCCAAACACTGTCGCACTCCGGTCGACCGCCATATTATTTGCTACCTAATACAATAGGTTCCAATTGCGGAGCGGGAACGCGCATCCATTCCTCCTGGGCAGACGACACCGAAAAAAAATAACAAAATTCTCAACAACAAAAGATCGATTGTATAAGTTGCAACCGTCACCCCCTCTTGCGTTCCCCCAGCTATTTCAACTGCCGGACGTGGAGGCAGCCGTTGCCAGGAAGGCTCAGCGCCTACTACATACGAGGTTTTCACACCGAGTTTCCTCTCCCCTCGAGACGAAATGCCATCGACAACAGCCGCGCCGCGGTGGAACAATGAAAACGACCAAGGAACACCTAAAAACGACGACACAACCCCTACGCAGAAGAAACTGCATAAATTGAGGCGTATAAACTACGCACAATTCGCCAAGACACCAGCAGTCCCGCCCCCGCTCGCTCCCTCGCTCGCGCGAGAAACGGCGGGCGCTACAGCAGCGCATACGCCAGCCACTACACACAACACGGCGGCAGGCACGTAATACATGCCGAAAGAGAGTGAGGGGAAAATGGTGCGAGAAGGAGGCCACATGGTAAAACCCGCTGGTGCAACCAACAAGAGGCGAAGAAAGAACGTGTACGATCGGTTCCGCCGCTATCAACCGCCGGGAGGACACGGACGGCAGCAGTAACCGTCTTGCCCTTCGATACAGCTTTGGAGGCATGGTGCCAAGGCCTTTGGCTGCTTTCTTATGACGCTATCGCTGTCGTTCTCGACGACGACAAAGATACACAAGAAAATCGTACGTTCCTCAAGGAAAAAAAAACAAAAAAAAAAGCCACCGAAAAAAAATCCAGAAATATTTGCTAGAGGGATAAGGAGATGGGGAAAAAACACGTCTCTAGACACAACCCGAAACTAACTCTGTTCGTTCGCACACACAGTCCTTCACAAGATGAAAATAGAAAATACTGCAGTAGGTAGAGGACCCCAACCTCCCCCCGCCAGCCCGTCCGCCCGCGCGCTCCCGATATACATGCAGAATATCCGAGCTATATTCAAACACTGCACAGATATGCTACGGGAAACGACTCTAGCCGTGACACTTGTCCTTCCCCAGCCATGCGTGCCTCCGCGTCCGGGAATCGATAGAGCGTCGCCGTATCTGAGCAAAAAGTAATTACGGCGTTTTCTTGCCGCAGCAAAAAAGCAGCACCATGATGTGCTCAATCATTCGGGGGGCTAAAAAAGCTCGACCAAGAAAAGGACAAAAACTGACCCTCGGCATCAGAATCGGCCAAGAGGGCCGCGAAAAAAACAATAACGTTCCTCTCTTGGGTATAATCGACTCAACACAACAACGAGACTAGTCGCGGGGGGGGAAACACGCAACCAGCACCAGACCGCGTGCAACCAGCGATAGCTGCCCTATGAAGAAGATCACATCCATTCCAATAAATCGAAAAACAAACTCGAGACACCACGCACCACACACACCTATGCATTACCACCTGCGTGCGACTTATCTACCACAAAATAGCTACTCCCTTCCTTCCTCCCTTCCGCCAAACAAACCAACCAACCAACACATGCGAAAAACTCTAATTAGTTCCGGGAGATGCAGCCGAAGATGCTGAAGCCGAGCCCGCACCCGGGGCCCGACTCTCCCTCGTCGTCGCTGTTGTAGTTGTGCACCCTCCCTGCCGTGTTGTCGGTGAACCCGAAGCTCCAGCGCGACCTCGGGGGGGAGGGGGCCGGCGGGGGGGCGGACGACGACCCCACATACCGCGGGGTCCCACGGCCGCCGCCGCCGCCGGCATCTGCGGCGGCCGGGCTGCTCGTGTACATGCTCGAGTCCGTCGTGGAGGCGCCGGAGCCGCCGCGCGAGTCGTAGGTGGTGGAGAACGGGGCCCTGCCGCTGCCGCGCTTGGAGCTGCCGCCAGCGCCGCTCTTGAAGGTGGGCGGGGGGCGGAGGTAGGTCGGGATGGTCGGGAAGACGTTCATGAGCTGGGCGCAGAACATTACGTTCTGCTTCTTGTCCGACTCCAAGAGCGCCTCCTTCGTCATGAAGACCCCCTGCGAGATGTGTGGGAGGGAGGGAGAGAGGGAGGTGTTCGGGTAGGTTTCTCGATGAGGCTTTTGCGCGCGTGGGAAGGAAGAAGGAGGCTGCCATGGTACACGACGTGTGTGTCGATGCTGATTGTGGTGGCGGTAGTGGCTACGATATGGCTTGGTCGTCCCTTCTTCGCAGTCGACCTCTTGCGGACCGACGGTAGGAAAATCTGAGTTCAATTCGGGCTACATCGTGCTCAGGTTGGTAAAACCCGCAAAGAGTGTTGGGCAAAGATACGAGACAGGCCGTGCGGTCCCCGTCGTCGTGATCCGTCCGTGCGTGAGTCGTCGTCGTGGATAGATAGATGCTCTCCCTCTCCGTTGCGGTGGAGCCTAACAGAAAGTTACGCCGCCAAAAATAAACGAATGGATGCCTCGTTTCCTCTCTCCCTGCTGAATATGTACATAGAAGCCGCACAAGGGTCCCTATCGATGTGAACGATTTTTTCCACGCAACACACGCCTGAACAGAATGCACTCTCCAAAGTCGTCCAGCTCTACCGCAGTAGGTGTAAAACTTCCATGTACCGCCTGCCGACTCCGTCGGGACAGAACGAGCCCTACGTAACCAAACATCATGGGCTGCAGCCGACAACCAAAAAAGAAAGCAAAAATCAATACGTTGGTACAAAAACCGGGCCCTCCGCAAGGAAACTGAACACGCCTCCGCGTTCCCTCGCACCCGCAAGAGGAACAAACATTACGTAGCTTCGATGGCAACGTCCATCGCATTGCCCCCCTCCATAAAATAAAAAAAAACAGGCCCCAAGAGACAGAAACGCGCCGCAACCGCTCCGCACCTTGACTTCCATCTTGTGCACGGCCTCGATGACGCTGGCTGCGTTCGCCTCCGCGTCGTGCTCGTCGGGCGGGGGGCACGCGGATGGGTCGATCGCGTTGAGGAGCGTGCACCACGCCACCCCGTCCGCCAGCTCCGCGCCGAAGCTCCACACCTGTCGCTCGCTTCCCACGGCGCCAAGGAACTGATTGAACCTGTTCGGGTTGCAATAATGCGCCGGAGGGGGGGGCGGG